TGTGAGTGTTGAAAAGAATTAAATGTTGTTACATAAAAAAAGGTCATTTCACAAATGGACTCAGCAAATAAAATACATGCAAGAAAAACAATTAAGAATAGTTAAACTAAAGTAAAAGTCGTAATTATTTCAGAAAAAAAAAATCAAGACAGCTAAAAGTAAATTGAGACACATGTAAAAGTTGTTGTTTTTTTGGCTTTAAGCTACTAGAATATTAGCTTTAAAACTTACAGTCCATGTTTTTTCCCCTTTTTTCTTTCATTATTATTAAAAAATCTTCATGTTTAATCAACTGTAATTTTGCAAAACATCTCACAAATCATCTAAAATTTTATCAAGTGGGCCCGGTTGAACCCCCAAGTGTGTTCATTTTGGCCCGCGGGCCACATGTTTGACACCCCTGGTTTAGACTAAATGCAGGTCATATTTGTATTTATTCAATGATATGGACCGTTCTTAATATTCTTCCTCCACGTCTGTGTGTTCGTCTGCGTGGGAGAACAGGAGATCAGACCTCGTCCACGCTGCTCACATTCTCTCATTGTCTTTTCTCTTAGACAATGTTGTTGATTCTCCAGTGACGGGCGTTTACTTTTTATAGCAGTGACTCTGTGACTCTGCTGCTGCCCACGTGACAGGTGAATTAAACCAACTGTGGCTCTGTGTGCTGTGCAGGTTCAGAGGTGTGGCACCCCATGTGTAAAGAAGCGGCTCGGCTGGAGAGGAAACTGAGGGTGAGCGCCGCCTGGAACACCAACAACTTCCTGTCTTTATTTGTTTTTTTTTTGTTTTTTTAAATGTCTAGCATCTTGTTTTAAGCACGTACGTCCGAGACGGAACTTGTATGTTTTAATTTTCACGTTTGGCCACAGACTTGTTCCGACCTGTACGCTTGTCCTTACAGCTGAGACGTACGTCCGAGACGGCGTCCATTTCCCCCCCGAGCTCGTCTCCTCTCCTGGGTTCTCCTCATAGACTGGTCTGTGTGAGTAACTGTTGTTGTTGTTGTTGTGATTACAGCCACAGCTGTCACCGTCACAGCTGTCAATCAAACGTGACGGACACGAGACACACAGGACGTTCACCTCAGTCTGTGGAATTTTCCACAATTAACCAGTGACTGCTTAAAAAATAAATACATTAATATATGATGTAGTATTTTTATATATATATTTTGAATAAAATCATATAAATGTGAACTTATTTTAATGGGACAAAAGACAGCTAGCTCCAAGTGGGAACTGTTCGGCTAGCGTTCCGTAGCACAGACATATCTTATCATTATCATTAACCACATAAAGCCTTGTGTCTGAGTGCTGAAAAGAATTAAATGTTGTTACATAATAAAAAAGGTCATTTCACAAATGGATTCATAAAATAAGTACAAATACATGCAAGAAAAACAATTAAGAATAGTTAAGCTAAAAGAAAAACTCGTAATTATTTCAGAAAAATAAATCAAGACAGCTAAAAGTAAATTGAGACATAATTAAAAAATAAATGCAGTGATTAATGATGTAGTATTTTTATATATATATTTTGAATAAAATCATACAAATGTGAGCTTATTTTAACGGGACAAAAGACAGAAATGGATGTGTTTTCATTGGCAGGAACGCTGTAGTCTTTAATCTTTCTTTTGAATTTATATTATATGAAGATGTTTACATGAAATAGTCTCTCTCCCCCCTCTCCCCCTCCCTCTCTCTCCCTCTCAGTCCAAGGCAGTCACTGATGTGCTGGACTATAAGCAGCTGGCTGCTCTGCCCAGGGTCAAAGCCATATATGACAACCGGCCTGAGCGTCCTGACATCATCCCTTATCAGTCTGACCACACTCACACACACATCACAGATGACACTCTGGAGCAGTACAGCTCTGGACAGGTATATACACACACACACACACACACACACACATTCTCACTCAACCCACCTTTGATGTCAGTTCCTCAGTGTAACATCCATCCACTTATTTTCAAAAAAATCTTCAATTTTTCAATTCAATAATCTAATTGAATTATACAACTATTGTCATTTTTAAAAAACAAACAAACTACAAATTTGTTTTTTTTATTATCCACTAAAACGTCCGTTTTTTTTTTTTCTCCCCCAGGACGGTTTCGATGACATTGAGTTCAGAACGCGGCGTTCCTCCAGCTCCGCCTTCACTGACTCTCCCGCTCACAGTCGCCACGGAGGTTCCCCGCTGCATTATTATCATCCTGGTAATGTGCTAACACAAGCAAACACACACACACACGCTCATAAATGAATACACATAAAATATAAACATCCCCTGACTGGGCAGCAGGGGGCAACGTGCCAGTTGGAACAGCAGAATTCCACACCGATCTCACAGCCACCACCACCACCGCTTACTTTACTACACACTCTGGTGTATTCCATCTGTGTATATGTGTGTGTATATGTGTGTGTGTGTGTGTACCACACATCTGTCTGTATCTCTCTGTACCTCATGCTTCTGTGTCTGTCGCTGTGATTGGCTGTGCTGGCATCAGGCAGTGAGAGTGGCAGGAGTTCACCTTATTACCCTGTGCCAGAGCCTCGCTGCGTCACACCCACCACCTCCACCTCCACCTGCACCTCCACATACTTCTTCAAAGCACCCCGGCATTTCCATGTGCCAGGTAGGAAGTCATCGTGTAAAAAAAAAAAAAAAAAAAAATACTAACATCAGTTAACGATCCCAACGCTCCCTAACCTAAAACACTCCCACCATGGAACGCCGGCCAACTTCCTGCCTACAGCGCATGCACATTCTGGAGCGGGCCGGTTAAGTTTAAGGTTTAACTGATTCATTCTGGATCGGGCCGGTTAAGTTTAAGGTTTAACTGAGCCAGGAGTCCAGTTTGAGGATTTATAACCTCAGAGTCCGAGCTTCACACTGGCATGTTTGGTTTTATTATTATTCCATAACCAATAAACAGTTGAGAACACATTTTTCTTTTATAGTTTTGTTTGTTTTTTTTTTTTTATTTTACTAGTGCTTTTTATACACCGTGAATGTTGTTACAGAGAGAAAACCTTTTAACAATAAATGAACCAAAACGTGATGCAGCACATTGAGTAGGACATAAACAAAGTACAGTGTGAACGTGTTGGAGTGAGAGACGATAGAGGAGGAAAAAAAAAGTTAATAAATCAAGGAACTCGTGTTCAGACACCGTAACTGAAAATATAAACCAGTCAAAGTGAGAAGTTTGTCAGCGTAAATTCTAATTACATTCTAGATACGGTGTGTACGAAGAAGAGGTTTTCACTCTGTATAAAAACACTGGTAAATTCAGGTTTCTGTTCAGTCCAACAACAAACTTTTATTATAAATAACCTTTTTTTTTTACCCCTAGGGTCTTGCCATCTTTATTATTGCTCTGCAGTTATTTTTTTCCTCCACTACAGACGTTTGACTGATTCTCACCTGGAGCATCAGTTTATCACATCAGCATTACTAACATGTAACCACCAGCAGTTCTCCTCTGTTTTAATTCAAACGTTCCCACAGACCTGCACTTTATCACCCTAACGCCTTCCCCTCGTCCCTGAACGTCTCGCTCTGTCATCATCGTCATCGTCGTCGTCCTGCTGCAGCGTTTGTCACTGACGTGTGTTTGGTTTCCCTCCGTCTGCACGTTCTGTCGTTGAATTGAACCAAAATCTTCAATATTTCAGTTTCAGTCTCACATTTTTCACTGCATTTAATGCATCGATCTTTTGCTTTTTTTTCCTTCATTGTGTCGTTTAAAAATTTCACTTGTGCTTCTCCAGGACTTTGAGCCAAACATTTTTTTTTTCAAAGACAACGTCCTCCCCATCTTCTCCATTCAGCCTCCCTCTCCAGCCTTCACCTCCTCTCCCCTCCTCTCCCCTCCTCTCCTCTCCACTCCTCTCCCCCCCCCTCCTCTCCTCTCCTCTCCCCTCCCCCCCCCTCCCTTCCTCTCCTCTCCTCTCCTCTCCTCCCCTCTCCTCCCCTCTCCTCTCCTCTCCTCTCCTTTCCTCTCCTCTCCTCTCCTCTCCTTTCCTCTCCTCTCCTCTCCTCTCCTCCCCTCCCCTCTCCTCTCCTCTCCTCTCCTTTCCTCTCCTCTCCTCTCCTCTCCCCCCCCCTCTTCTCCTCTCCTCTCCTCTCCTCTTCTCTCCTCTGCTCTATTCTTGCACCATCTGCTGCACTTTTGCTGCATTAGGCCTGAGAATGAGTATTAATCAGCCCCCCCGCACGTTGGTCAGGCGGTGAGGATGCACAGCGCCTCCTCTGCTGTGGCAGTTTATCACCTGTGCTGTCAGCTTTATGGTTGAGAAGACCATAAATGTATGTCATTAATTTTGTGGGATGGAATGAATAAGGAAATTCAGATTACTCCCCTCTCCTCCCCTCCCCTCTCCTCTCCTCTCCTCTCCTTTCCTCTCCTCTCCTCTCCTCTCCCCTTCTCTCCTCTCCTCTTCTCTCCTCTGCTCTATTCTTGCACCATCTGCTGCACTTTTGCTGCATTAGGCCTGAGAATGAGTATTAATCAGCCCCCCCGCACGTTGGTCAGGCGGTGAGGATGCACAGCGCCTCCTCTGCTGTGGCAGTTTATCACCTGTGCTGTCAGCTTTATGGTTGAGAAGACCATAAATGTATGTCATTAATTTTGTGGGATGGAATGAATAAGGAAATTCAGATTACTCTCCCCTCCTCCCCTCTTCTCCCGTCTCCTCTGTCTAACTGTCTCCCTCTCCTTTCTTCCCAGCTTCTGAAGACACCAACATCTACAGGAAACCACCCATCTACAAGAGACAAGGTGAGAG